TTAACCAACAGCTAAAGAATATATAAGTCGTTAGGTTCTGATAAGATCCAGTTGACATACAGAAGTCAGGTTGTTGGAAGCAAGATGTTCTGGATCTAATTTCGCGTTAGTTCGCACTCACGAGTAAGATATACACTCACTTCTGAACAAATCGAGTCCTCACTGCTCACTAAATTGGGCAGAGATATAACCATTCAGCTTTTGAATATTGAACGAAATGAATTTCAGCAACTGGATGAGCATTTGTTTCCCCGGAATTGATGGGTTTAGCTGAGCCAACAGCTTAGGGGTAATGACTTTGACCTCAGCGCTTAGCAATGCTGACTTGGATTTCTAGAAGGATGTCAGTTCGATCAAGATCCCAGATGCGTTTCGTTGATGAGTGCAAATCTACACAAAACGTAGGCTCATGACTTCCTGTCGATTTTCTTCAAACATCTAACACCACATAGAATGTACGAATGTTTACTCATCCACCTTATTTGTCATAGCTCAAATTAATCAACAGAAATTAACTGTCATCAAGAACTAAACATGACAGTGATTACTACCTTGTTATTGAATGGTACAAATAATTTGTATAAACGATACATTCATAAAAATAAGTTCCAACTGTGTTTCTACTTTAAATAACACATCTTTTGTCTAGTTAAAATAGATATATTATGGATTTTACAAAAATCAACTAGTTTTCTATTTTCATGCGAAAGATTTTGTATAATTTTGTGGAGTATTCTCCTTTTTTAAATGTAATTCCAAATCAGTTAATTATTATTACATTAAAGGTTGTTAGAAGAAATCTATTTTGAGGAATTAGAACTTGCAGTTATTATCGATATTTTATGATAAGTTTATTTGCCCAAAAAATCTGTAAGCCATCTGTTTGATTAAAGTACAGTGTACTTGTTACCTATGTGCGAAAATCGGTATTTTAGATGTTTCTATTCCACTAACAGCCTGTTTATTTGTTAGATCAGTGCATAACCCTAATTTCCAAATACCAGGTTAAAAATATGGTTGATTTCAAGATATTTATGTGCCTTATAAAATTTGGGGAAAAATTTCAACATAAACTGATATTCGTCAAACAACCATAAAAATCCAACCATATCTGGTTGACTCATTAGAACTATTAATAATGACTTTCATCTTGAAATTAGAAAATTTCGCTTGTTGCTAAGCCACGAAATTCAATTTCATGAATTAAGTGATGATATATTATATTTCAAGTAATCATTTAGTTTAAAGGTTTCAACTGCTACAATTAAACGTAGTAGCGAATAATTGTAACTTGAATAGATTAAATGATGGTAAACACTTGAAGAAAACGAAAAATTAAACAAAGCTACTAGTCATTGAGATTTTAATATTGAGCATCGATTTAAATGATAAAAAGTATTGTTGTCATTCAACCAAACTAACGAAATCGTTTTTTTTCCACTTGGCTGATATAGCTTTCACAAAGCACTATATGTAAAAGGCTCGTTTTGATACATTGTAATATGTTTTTATCTAATCTTTGCTACTAATATGAAATCCTATTTCAATTATAGTGGTTTTTCAACCATGTTTTCATTAGGTTTCAAGTTAATCATTTTTAAATTATATACTTTACTTGGTTTAGAGTGACTGAATTAAACAGCCCAACTAATAAAAGTAATATATTACCAAAAGTATGAAAAATTTCATTCCTCAACAGTGGCTTTATTAATAAGATAAACTCAGCACAGCTGTATGATCAGTGCGAAGTTAATTCTGAATACGTAAGTTGGTCTATTTGTAATCAATTAGTACTGGTTTATGGACCAAGAAAAGATCGATTTCATAGGTAAATTTTATGTAAACTCTTGTGTTTGTATTTCTATAAATCGTTGTTTCTCGTTCCTTTGGAATATATATATGTTTCCATCTGTTTATTTTTCTGATTTGCATCAAGTCGATTAAAGTGCAAGTTTTAGAGAGTCCTACACAAGAGGGATACAAACAGACTTTAATCTCTAAACTTTTATATTTCGTTAAAAAATTTCTCTGGAAAGCGTTTCTTTAGCGAGTTAGTTTTCTATGGGATGGGGACACTAATCCCATGCCCAACCCTCCTCTATTGCCCGGGAGTGGGACGGGCAGTAACTCTGGAAGAGCTACAGGTGGGGTTGGTTAAAATGGATTAAATAAGCTGTATCCTATGATGAACTAGTCAAATAGTTTATATACTACGTGGCTGTTTAAACGTAGTTCAAAACTCCAACTTAAAGATTGAAATTTATATGAATTATTCATTGATACGCAGCTCCAAATTATTGCATAATTATATTACTTCAAACAACTCTAATTATTTGTTAACAGAGATAATGTTAATCAATGATTATGATGCTAGCTTTGTTTATTTCAAGTAACTGTTATGTATTTCAATTAATTCATAATGAGTTTTCACTATGAATCACTCGAAAATAGGCGGCTTTTTCATATTAAAACAAAAAAGGAGAAAGAACAAGCATAAAATCGGCTTACAACACAAATAGTCTAATCATGTTTTTTATATTTTAACTACAGTCAGTATCAAATAGCTTTTGATAATTTGTTAATGAAATCTATTTTCCTCTTAAAAAACAAATAGTCTATAAATTGTTTAAATTATTTTGATATTTCTTCTTATCCTCATATAAATAATTTTTTTAAATGGACAACTTATTATTACATAGAATAAACAATAATTGGTTATCATTTTTCATTTTGTTTTATTTTATAGAATTACAAAAACGAATAATATTCATTTCTTTTTTTAAAGTTAAAACATTTTAATTTCAATTGTAATCATTAGTTTTACTAGTAAATAAAATTAATGGTTGTTCTGGTTGTCAGAAGAAACATCAGCCTCGTGACTTTCGAAGGAACTTGGCTTTCAACATGAGGCGTCATCACTCGTTTAAATGAAAATTTTTTAACTCCCAGGACAGATATTAAATGGTTTTGAATTGTTTTTTCTGGTTAGCATATTTTCTAGTGAGTTATTTTTCTACGGGATGGGGTCGCTAACCCTATACCCAATCCTCCTCCTTTATCCGGACTTGGTAACAGTAGTAGCTCCAGGGGGGCTCCAGGCAGAGTGTTTTTTGGTCTTTCCCTTCCCCTTTGGCCTTGAGGATTCCATGTGAGGGCTTGTCTTGTGACGCAGTTGGGTGCTTTCCCCGGTGTTTGTCCCATCCACTCCCAGTGCTTATTTTTGATTTCTTCCTCCGCTGTGATCTGATTTATTTTCTCTCACAGATCCCAACGGAGTAAGAAATCAAGAAGGAGCGCTGGAAGTAGATAGGACACATTGAATAAAGCACCCAACTGCGTCACAATGCAGGCCCTCATATGGAATCCTCTAGGTAAAAAGAAAACAGGAAGATCAAAGAACATATTACGTTGACACATGGAAACAGACATGAGAGGAATGAACAACAATTGGATAGAACTGGAAAAGAAGGCTCAGGACAGAGTGAGTTGGAGAATGCTGTTCGGCAGTCTATGTTCCGTTAGCAGTAACAGGCGTAAATAAGTAACTAAGCGAATAAAACCACGATATAATAAAATAAATATCTAAATTATCTTTTCTAAACATTACACCTTCGTAGTGTTACTTATGAACTTGCCTGGTCTGTAAAAGATATTTGTGATTACAGTTGATTGATAAAATTCGATACTTGTTTCTTATTTTTTCCGAAAATATGTTTATTCAAATAAGCGCTTTTAGAAAGGTGTTTTAGTTTGCTTTAATAAGAAACACAGATTTTTAATTCTAACAAAAATATACGAATTTCGGTTTCCGCTTTAGCTTAAATAAATATGCTTGACGTACTCAAATAGAGTAGATAGATTGATACATATGACAGCAAGAGCAGTTATATTAATTCTGCCCATTTTAAAAGTTAAATTTTGAACCAAGGGTAAATTCTAGTTATAAGCAAGTATAATTCTGAGTGATTTCTGGGTTTTCTCTTACCTCGGTAATCCCTCCACTATCAAACGGCTTTCAATTGATATTGTTATTCATTTTTAAATACATTTTAGTGCACCATTTTATTTTAACATTGTGGTGTAAAACTATAGTATCTCATGCTACATGCGTTTACCGAGTTTCAAAAACCAATTTCCCACTGGCATCCCATATATTTACAAAATAGTACTTGTCTATAATCGTAAACATTATTAAAACTGTTTTTGATTTTTATTCTGTAAAAACGAAGTTTCAATTCAGTAACTATAACAGCTAACCTTTCATTATCAGCAAATTATTTCCACGGTTTAATTTAATTATTGACCAGGAAAGATTTTCTCATTAAGTGTTTCTAGTAGCGAATATTTGACCGTAATAATTTTCGTAGCAAGAAAACGTAAAGACAGTCAATTATCAAGACAGTTTATCAACCATAGTGTCGATATACAGAGTCAAAAATTTGAATCTCAGTCTGCTATTTCAGCATGGCGGAATTTGACGGGTAAACTGTCCTTGTCGGTTTTTATAACAAAGTAGCATATTTAAGAATTCAACTCATTAAGTTGCATACCAAAAAAGAACTTTAGCTTCTTGAACTATGTGTAGATGGAAGTTTGCTTTAAGCTTACTAGGACTGTAGTACCACATAATCATGTAGTCAACGAGTATCGTAAGCGAGCTGTTTATTGTTAAACACTTAGACCAAATAATTAAATGCTCAGCTAACCTTTTTTGATTTTATATTTGAAGCAAAAAAGCTTCATAAATGAGGGGATTCGTGGAGGTTTTTGTATTTTTACAACTGAATTCACGAGTCGATCGGGGATGCAGATCCTCATATTTAGACAAAACGGCCATCCAGTACTTCCAGGTTTTCAACATTAATGTGTTCTAGCTTAGACGGACTTGTGAATTCGACAAAGCTTTAGGTTATAATTAGTAATTAAACAAGGTTGTTATGCCACTACTTGTGAAAGGTATAAGAAAACATAATCACTTTGTTGAATTAACGTTAACTCACCCTTGACTGAAGAAGATCAAGTAGTTCCGTCCAGAAGTCTGAATTTCCGTAATCTTGCTGTACGGCAATACTCATCCGATTAACCATAAGTATAATTAACTGAAATTTGACAAATAATTTCAAATGAGGTAGTATATTTTTAATAAATCATAATCGATAGATTAAACAATTTTATCTGTTTACTTCAAGCGATTAAACATTTTTGCTGCTTACATCACCAAAGGCACTCTAATCATAAGCGTAGTGTAGAATGGCATGTAAATTCGCAAAACAAAATCACTTTCTGTGCAGGAGGTTACAAGGTGACTGATTGTTTTCTCAATTCGCTTTGATCACTGTAAGAGCTCATGAGTCATATTCTCAGCATAATAGTATTGATTTTACGGACGGGATAAATTTATACCATGAATGCACGAAAACTAATATATCAAATATCCCTCCACGTGTTTAAATTAAAACAAGCCGCACAAACTAAATTTCAGCCTTATTACATATTTTATATACATCTAAACATGGCGTCTAAGCAATACTTCTTAATCATAATCGATATGGAATAAAGTTGTCAGATGATAAAACGGACCAATTTTGTAAATGCCCAGAATATTTTTTGATAATGACTTCGAGTTACTAAAAAGTTTAAAAGTCGTAATAAATTCTTTGAGTTTATTGATTTCTTAACAACTCGACACAAACGTTTGTAGATGTATTTTCACAATGTACATCTAAGTAATAGTATTGATTATTTTTAATATTTACTTTTACACAAATTGTTTTTTACTTAAAGCGGATAAATAGAATCTAAAAAATGTTTAGCGAATACTGGAAAGCGTAATATACCACACTTACCATCAATCTACAATTACATGTCTTCTTGAACACTTGTTTTCGAAATGAATAAGTAAAAACTGAGACAAAGCAGCTTTTTTAGACGATATTTTGATTTACTTTTTGTGTATGATACACATCAAACGAATTTTTAGGTCAAGTACAAAGCAAAAATAAGCAAACAACATTCAGAACGAGAGTCTATCTCATGTGAGAAATTTTGGCTGTGAATAATGTTTTTCCCTCAAACCCACATTTTCCTTGCTAGGCGATCAGATCTTTGATTAGTTCATCGTTTTCAACAAAACCCTGAGGACTGAAGCTGCGGCATTTAGTACAGCTGACAACAAATCACAATAGAAATGCAAAACCGATCTTAAAGATGAGTCACTATAATAGCTAGCACATAGCTATGTAATTCTTCCTCTGCAATCAAACTGACTAATGAAAAACTACACAGTGGTTCCTGTAATAATCAGACATCAACCAAAACAGAAAAACACTGGATACAAACAATACGAAAGCCAAGGAAAAGATCAGTCACCGTTTTTGAGTTCTTTAGCCAAATATCCAACTTTCTCAATTTAAGGGAACATTTTATCCGTTTTGAGGAAATTTTCGGGGAACCGGTATAGAAAATTTGGGGAAATGTCATAAAAACCATAAAATTTCCTAAAATCTGGAAACGTCTTCAAATTTCTCAGAACTTTATACGATATTTCGCCAAAAGATTGGGAAAGACTATTGAATCTCAAAGAAAAACCCAAAAATCCCCGAAAATTCTTCAAACTTACTATAAAATACGGAGACTGAAATTTTACAAAGACATCATAATTTTCAAATAAAAAACGATCTTTATTCATCGATGTAGATGAACAATGTAACTATTTTTTGATGTCAAGGATTCTCATTGTAACCCTGTATTTTGTTAACAAACTAAAGAAAAACTGTCTTTCATGGACAATACACGACATTGAGCTTATTTTTGAGAAATACTTTTGAGAAACGTCCAAAACGTCAAAAAACACTTACATCTCTTCTAAATACAGTTGCTAGAGTTCCAATAACCAGACAAGCCATGAACAAGCCACAAAGTAGTGTGAAGAACTGAGATAGGATATTACAAAAATCTCTTCTATACCGTAACCAAAATGCAGCGATTTTCAAGTGCAGCCCCTGCGCATCCTAAAATTGAGAGTAGCAAAATGACTCCTCCAATGGACATAGTTGAATATGCTGATATTCTTAACAAATGATGTCCCATAATATCCAGAAATATTTGAGGCCAAAATAAGGCCCAACAAGCTATCACGATAGACGAAAGCCCAATCAGTATAAATACGACATTCAAACACAACAATACACACTTTACGCACATTAAAGATGATCCCTTCCAACACATTTGATTACGAATTCTAATTACACGACCTTCAACTTTGTAACATCGCAAAAAAGAGTACACCTAATTTGCAAAGTTTAAACAATATAGCATTCCTGAATACGTTTTCAATTCAGATTTTTTTTAGATTAAGAATATATAATTGTATGCTACATAAATCTATAATGAGACTATTTTATTTGCGGATTTAATTGCCGCTACATTTCACTTCACTCTATGATAGAGCATTAAGACCTTGGGAAGAGATCATTTGGAAGTTTTAACCCAACAGGTTCGCTATCAGTTAACACCCATCTGACAGCTCCCTATGTTCAGCGATATGTACTCTTCTTTCTTTAGTAGAAGGAGCCATGGAATGCAAAATAACAATCAAAAATGTGCGGGAAATTTTCAGTTCATTGAATTTTTTATTTATTTAAATTTCTCAGCTAAGCTGGAAAAGACAAATTTCGATCATGTATTTATGTATTGAAATACTCTCGTGTTTGCTCAGAGAAGAAAAATTTGTAAAAAGAACTCTAGTATATATGCGTACATATGTAGTGGCATTGGACCATAACCACACTATCCTCAAAGCTGAATACGAGATTACTCGGAAAATAGGTATTCAATATTTAACGCGAAGAAATACCTAACGATGGAGAAGGCGCGAATAATGAATTGAATAGACTAGAGTTGATCGAACGGCATGGCTCGGCCATGCAGGCGTGGTCTCTGCTGAATGTTACCTTATATCTTCTTTTCATATTAAATATATTGTTCTTTCTCTAGCCTAACCTTGTTCTACATCATGTATTGGTAATTGATACGATACAGTGAGTTGGTGTAGTCGATGGTGTGACTTCCACGTAAGATCTTATAGATTAGGCAGTCATATCATGACAAATCTACAAATTTAGGATTAGGTCTATTATTAGAGCAGAACTAATATCATAGTAGACCATAAGTTCTACACATATGCCATATGACATAGCAAAAATTTTCATAAAAATAGGTACTTTACGAGATTTAATATGGAAAAAGAACATATACACATATACATCGAACAAAAACGATGCTCCTTTTATGTTTACGCTACAACACAACACGCAATTAGATAATTAATGGGCGCAAAGACGAGATAAAATAAAGTTATGCAGTGTCCTACGTGCAGTTATCGTTAAGGGTGTTCTGGAAACCCTACCATCCTTGGTTTTTATAAATTCAGAGAATTGCCACCGTAGTTGTTGTTTATCGGGGATGGTTGCCCAATCGTTTGGTTCGCATAGTTCGATTGTTCAGGATCAAGTTAACATAATTATGATATCCCTCTAAATAACCGGCTTTAAGATGGCGTTATCATTAGTTTTCTTTAACCGAAGGTGTGTCACTTAGCTTTGAGATGGACATCTTTGAATTTTCCTTTGTATGTCACTTAGAAGATCGGTGTATTAAATCGTGATGCACGAAAACGCGCGCATTACATCATTAAGCGGACTGGACGAAAACATCAGTTAACTTAGGCCAGGTTGAGACAGGTTCAACTAAATGCATAGTTCATATTCACTAAAAAAGACAAATGATCTACAAACTAAGTTTTAAGTCAAAGTGCTGTTCCATAAGAGTGCTGTGTTTGGTGTATCTAAAGTAAGACTTTACTGCATTGCGAATACCAGTAAACACGAATGAAAGATCGTCTATCCATTGCTATCCGTCTGCATCTGAATAAATCATTCAACATATGGTGATATCACCCTACCTACCTGCTAATTTGTGGGTGGTTGACGGTCTTTTCGAATCGTGCGATTCTCAGCAATGTAGCAGGACAACGGAAAAGTTCGAATTCGAACTGACGTTCACAGTCTGTAGCAGTTGTTGGAGGGCAGTGGATGTTTGAAACCCATCGTTCGAAAAATGAGCAGAACTGTCCATGATTAGTACTGATTCCTGCCACCGTGTGAAGCGGTTCACAGATGATAAGAGATAAAAATAATAATTTAGATCCACCTAGAGCTCAACTAAGTCAAAATGAACATGATCGGAACGAGCGTCGAAAGTAACGAAAGGGTCCAGTGACATTTGTTTTATCTGACCACACCAAACTTTTGGCAGATTACATCAGAGTACGCCGGCTCCATCACACCTTGACTCACATTAGGCCATCAAATCATACTGTTCAAAAACCTGGATGAGTAGACTCGTGCATTATAATGAAGACGTTTCTTCGACAGTGTTACGGCGCGACTGAACGATCATTACCTAAAGATATTATTATTATTATTATTCACAAACATCTTATGGGTACATAAGTGTTGTGAAGAAACCATTTCGGGTTTCTTCATGAAATGCAATAATACACAATTTTCAATAATGTTAGCATTATACTTGCCATATTTAAAAAATAAAAAATAAATTAGAATAATAATAAATGGGGTCTGTGTAATTGAGAAGAATATTGAATTGAGTTTAAAGAAGGAAATGGAGAAAATAAGGGAATAGAAATAAAAGAGACGTGAAATAAGCAAACAGTCTAATAGGCGTGTTTATGAACAGATAAGAAGAAAAAACGACCATGTGTGTATCGTTAAATTAGTAACAAAAAATAATTTATCATTGTAGTAAGATATGACACTAGAATAAATGTTTGTGCAGTTATAGTTTAGTGTGATGCTATGAAAGTCACAATTAAGTGAAAAGAATAATAAAATATCACTCTGTATGAGTCATATATGCATAGTGAAGATAAAACTAATCTGAGAAGTTAATTAAAGTGTAACACAAGTTATTGTCTTAATTAGAAACTTCATAATCTTAAGAATAAGATTTATTTAGAAGGGAAGAAGAGCGAGAAAAGAAGTGAACACCTAGTGAAAAGGTTCATCCATGATAAGAATAATAATTGTGTAATGAATATCAACTTCAGAAGGAAACCAGCAATTGAAAAAAAAAATAAATGAATAAAAATCCTTTAAAGCACTCGGATGAATACATTTAGATATGTCACATAGTAAGGTTCCATGACCCGTTATGATCTGTTTGATTAGTAATTTCTAAGCTGTCTAGGATCAGTGACCTCTTTTTTAAGTTGAACATGTTTAAGAAGATCGATGTATTGAAAACTATTCAGAGAAGTTGGACGAGACGAGGTCTGTAACTACATTGTTAGTTAAGGAGTGTGTTGTAAATCCTAAGTGAAATGATATACTTGATCCTGTTGTCGAGACTCTCTAATAAAGTACTTGTCTACTATGGCTAAACGAAGTAAATTCTTGATTTTCCGCAGAAAGTGCCGTACAGGACAACACATATCTAGGAGTTCTCTGAAGAGAGTGTCGTACTCATGTTCAGTATCTTGCGGACGTCTCGAAAAAGGAGTCTGCAGCCACAGAAATTCGGTTACATACTTCAACCAGATACATTTTCGAAAAAAAACTGTAACTCTAAGAATAGCTGTCAGGTCATGGATGTATGGTAAAAAAATAACGATCTGAAGTAATTTGCACATTCACTCGCCGATAATCACCAGTTGGACGCTGATCAATGCTTTCCTTATAAAAAACCATATACAAAGGAAGTTCTTATGATCATTCTGATCGTTAGATAATGCCCGGGTTATCATGTGTTAAAATTCATCTCGACCAACTTGTCCAAACACGTTTGCTGGACGAAACTTTGAGTTAATTTACACTTTAATCGCTGAGATTATCTAAAATATAATTTTTAATATAAAAACCCAATTATTTATACGTTACAAATATGTTCATTATTCAGGACTTCATGTCATCCGCGGCATTTCATTACGCTGACGATCTACTGAACTTGCCGTTGCCGCTCCCAAGAGTTGACTTCCAGTCACATATGGAGACCGAGGAGTAGATTTTCCAACTATTTAATATACCCATTTAGCAGAGTGCTTAAAAGGCTTGATTAAAAGGCGCTGGTTCACTTTCCTTCTCCACTGTGCGTCCTTTCATTTCACTGCACCCTATCTTCACCATTTAGTTCTGCTAATTGTCTGTTCAAGTCAATGAGTGTGTGAAACACACTTATTCAAAATCCATTCACGTGTTTGACATATTTAATTTCTTTATTCACTAATGCAAGTTAAATCGATGATTTTATACGAGGATCAGTGGCTTGTATATTTAGATAGCAACCATCATGCTATCTAATTGGAACCTGGTGAAGTTCGATTAAATGCGATGAACCAGACGACTAAACTAACGCAGAGAACTTCTTTAATAAGGAACCTTCTAAATTCCACACTTTCGACAAACGAACTCAACGTAGCTCACCCAACAGATAACCACATAGTTGATATCGTCGTATCCCTACAAACTTAATCTATGTATATATGCATGCAACTGTCTCTGTGTTTTTGCAAAAGAACCCTGTTGAAATACGTTTTACTAGGAATTTTGTATTGTACCAAACTTTCATTTACTTATTTCTTCCTGCACTGGTAACATTGAAGCGCATTTTTGGCCAGTTTGGGGAAAGAACTTTCTACCTAATCTTCAACAGTTTTACTCGTCCCCATTTATAGTACGGAAACATAGTGTTTCCTCACTCACTCAAAAAGGAAAAGGACACTCAGGAGCGTATCCAACGACGAGCCAAGAAATCAGTTCGGGGACTCAAATTCAAACCTTATGAAGAGCACCTTCAATCACTTAACCTTTACCCATTAGAGTATGGTCGT